CTTGTGTTTTGTTTGTAAAACTTGCTGCTCATAAAATGAGAATAAATTAGCGTTAAAAACCGCAAAATTTGCTAGCATAATCTAATAGCAAACAGATAGTAAGAATCGATCAAGAATATACATGGCATAATGCAATACATTAGGAGTAAATCAAGCAGGACTTGGCATTACATAACTCGATCATTCGATAAGTCTTCTTAGATACCTTTGTTCGTTCAGTCATCGAGCTATTTTTCGTAACACGAGTCGAGGCACAAATCTTGAAATTCCAATATAAACAATTATTTTTACATCTTTTACATCAGAGAGAACGCAAACAATTTCTTTGATTAAATTTTTAGATAAAATATAATAAAACTTTATTTTGGAAGTAATATATTTATTTATTTGTTAGTCTAATGCCCGTTTCTATAACCAACGCAGATTAACTCTAATCTCGGTTTAACTTACTTCTTATCTTTTCCTAATTCGTAAAACTAGAAAAAGATATAAAGCAAGTTGAATCGAGATTAAAGTTAATCTAGAAATTTTCCAGCTTGTAGCCAATCAACACGTTTAAAAATTTTCTCGTACGACAAAGTTTTCAATTCCATAAACATTAAGAAAATTCTATGTTTTCAGCAACTTTCAAAATATTTAATATTTAATTAATACACTCACTCCAAAAAAGCGGTACACCTAAAATTTGTCAAAAAATCACCAAACTTCGAATGACGATAACTACGCGAGTAATAATGATAGAAAGGTTTTTCAAAAAGAAATTAAAGCTTGAAATCTCTGCTTTAAGAATCGATTCATCAGAGTTTTGCGAGATAATTTTTTTCAAAATGGCAGATGACAAAACGAGAGTATGCGAAATTGAAAAATTTTCGTCCGAGTTTGCGACGATTCATGGCAAGAGACAAGTGTTGTAACTTAATGGGATCAAAACCATGCAATAGTGCAGAGTCTGCCCTTCAAAATGCTTTTTTACTCGTTTCGATATGATGATTTTTCGATGAGATATGCGCATTCAAAGTAAAAACCGGCATTTTTATTCAAATGCACATATCTCAGCGAAAAATTACCGTATCGAAACGATTAAAACGATAAAAAAGCATTTTGAAGAGGAGACTCTGTACTATCGCATGCTTTTAATCCCATTAAGTTACAACACTTGTCTCTTGCCATGGATCGTTGTAAACTCGGACGAAAATTTTTTAATTTCGCATGCTCTCGTTTTGTCATCTGCCATTTTGAAAAAAATTATCTCGCAAAACTGATGAATCGATTCTTAAAGCAGAGATTTCAAGCTTTAATTTCTTTTTGAAAAACCTTTCTATCATTATTACTCGCGTAGTTATCGTCATTCGAAGTTTGGTGATTTTTTGACAAATTTTAGGTATACCACTTTTTTTGGAGTGTATTTACTTTATAATAATTTAATTTCCATTAAATGTTTATTTTAAATTTAAAATAATTACATGTGGTTGAAATGTTGTAAATAACGAATAAAATATTAAAGATAATAAGAAAAATATGAAAATGTATTCTTTATCATAACAAAATAACCTTTAAAAGAGCTACAAAAAGACACCACGCACGCGCCCAAAGAACGCATTAAAAAAAAACTCTTGTATGAAACAACTTTAATCTATAAAAATAATTTTTCCGCAAAAGTAATATCAACAAATTGCACCAAATATAACAATGGATATTTATACAAATTAGGTACTTTATGTTTGATTTTTATATTAAAATGTGATAAAAAAACTATTAAATTTTTCAACTTAGAATACGCACGGAAACTAACAATGTATAAATTAAATTTCACAGAACTACCATACGTAGGACTATGCAATACATACGACGAATACTCTAAAATTAATGTCGTGTTTTATATTGTAAAATTTGGAAAAAAAATTAAATAAAGATGTTAAAAATTTCCTTCATAGAGCATATTATTTATTGAACCATCAGTTTTCCAGCTATTCATCCTGAGTTTTCAGTTCCAGTATTCGGCGCAAACTTTGATAAGCATGTTACAATTTCATTGTTTCTTTTTAGTTTGTTAACCGACGTGAGAGATTTCGCAATTTGCTCAGAACATCTACAATGAGCGAATTAATACGATCGATTACATCATTGTACAATGTGTAACAATGTTATATTTAATGAATGTCAATATATTTAAAATAATTCTGAAATACATATTGAAGTGGAATTCTGTCAATCGGTGGGATATACTCGAAAATGGAACATTAATTGTATTTAGTTCAATTAAGTGTAATAAATGGTAATCCGGAATGAAGGAAAACTATGACCAATCTCAGTAGCGATAGCATTTATTTTACAAACTTCTCATATACGAGCACGTTTTCACGAGATGGAAAATTTACAATCTTTACATTAATTTTTCAGAAAACATGGGAAACTTAATCAGGTTTTCCCCGAATCCGGAGTACTGTGTAATTGTGTATTAGCCACAGGATAGATTCGATAGATTTTGATCTTGCAGAAAGTGTCACTTGGTCAGTCTGTATTTCTCCTTTTTCTACTTACTGGTGATCTTTCGATTGGGTGACTATTTCGGTTTACCGAGCCCGCCAACTCACACGAATCTCGTCGTGATGATTCTTACCTTAAAGCTACCTGGACTAGCGTTCGAGATTAACTCGGCGGCCACGGCACCAGCCGACGACGTTCAGGGAGCAAATTCTGACGCGCTCAAGAAAATTAATTTCATGGACGTGATACATTATAGCTTCGGTTATATGGGCGTACTAACAGGTAAGATACGACGTATGTAAACGTGAAATTGCAATAAATGTGTAAATAGTCAAGAATCTCGATTTTTCCAGGTCCATATTATCGTTACAGGACGTACTGGGATTCTCTGCACAGACCGTTTTCCGACTACGTCGATCCGTGGCCACTCACCTATTATAAACTTAAACAGATTGCGGCGTTCATCGTGCTGTTTCTAGCGATAAATCAGTTCTTTCCCAGCGACGTAATGTTCATTACATTGTATCGTAAAAAGCCAAAACGCGATGATTGGAATCATGAACATAGAAATATCTGGACGGAACATGTTTCCACGGGATTGAAGCTTGCGAGGAAAGGAAGAATTCCATTGATCAACGAATCCATAGCAATAAATAGGTGTAGGCACTAAAACGGGTCGTGTAACAACTTTCGGGCGAGAAAAATAACGAGTGAGAATTAGATCAGGATTTTCCGCTTACCGAGTTCTTCCTATTAAATTACCCAGATCCACATTCAATACTCATCTCTTTGTCTACTCTATTTCACCGAAAGTGAATATGAAGTAGGAATAATATATTATCAACGTGACTCCAGAACGATGCTTGGTATTTCACTTGATGGTTTAGGATGCGTTCCGTTTCACGCATATGCATGATGCATCGTTTATCCTTCTCTAACATTTGGTGAATAACAAGGGTACAAATGATGCATCATGTGCATCGTGTGTGAAACGGAATGCACCCTTAATAAACCATTAGATGGATGCAGAATGGCTAGACTCCTAAAAGGCCCTCTGAAAAATAGACAAATTCCCCGCCCTACCGAATAACAGATTGTCCTCAATTACATGAAAATTACATGAAATAACGGTACGATTATATATTCATTTATGAAATATATAATCTTAAGGTATCTTAGCAATGCCTTGGTTAAAACCATACCAATGAATATGTCGTACTTTATATGTATGCAAAAGGTGAGCAACCAAGAGGGCCACAATGGAATTTTTCCCTCATCCTTCAGGCGTCATTTCCCTCATCGAAGGATTACCTTACAACCTCCGTCCAAATAATTCTACATAAAGAACAATTTGGATTTTACCGCATTCCAAAGGAGAACAGAAAAGAATATAACTTCAAGTTGACATCATGTTAACTTTTTTGTTTCCTTTGGATTATTACTAACAGCAAGCTTTCAGAGTTTCGTGTTTCATGATATTGCAAATCGAAAACGATCAGAACTTTCCGATTGCAAATAGGATAATAATCATCCTGATAATGCTAATGTATTTCCTTTTCTGATTTACAGTACACGCAAACGATAATGTTCGAAGAGCACTGCTTCCTATATAGATTTTTTTATATGTACCCGACATTCGCCGGTTTTCGACTGAGAATGTTTATCGGCATGGCGCTGGCCGAATGCGTTTGCCAAATGTCAGGACTAGGAGCTTACCCGATTTGCTGTCAACCCACACCCGGTCTTGGCCCGCGTGATTACAAAACAGTTGAAAAATTGTAAGATAATTTTCTTTCTTGTATTTTGCATTTTGCGATATTCATATTCACCAGACCATTTTTCTAATAGCCAATGAAACAAATTCATGTTATATTTTGTCTTTAAACTCATGAAAAATATTTTAGTGGCCTTTGTAATAAATTCTTTGTAATATTTATGATACAAAGTTTAATACAAAAATATTGAGGCTTTAGTAGCTTTCAAATAGAAAAGGTTTAAAGATTACAAAATTATAAATTTCGTAATGACGGATCCAACATAGTATCTAAAAATCTGCATTTAAATTTTTCGATTCTGAATCAATCAAAGGGTAATCAAAAGGTTAATATAATATTGATGGAACATGTTATACAGGGTCATCGAAAAGTATCGGACCCCCCTAATATCTTCAGTTAGAATGCATTTTGAAGAAAATGTTCAATAGCAAAGTGAACAATTTTTTGACACAAAATGTAAAATATCTTTTCAAATATTTAGTTTTCAGTAATCATAACCTTAATATTTTTGTGCGCGGAATAATGAGACGTGGAATATAATTACCGAAAACTAAATAATATTTTACAAGATATTTTACATTTTGTGTCAAGAAAATGTTAACTTCAAACCTTTATAACTCAAAAAGTACTTAATGAAGAAGGTTTTATTAGTGTTTTGGAAAGCTCTCGAGATAAGCTATAAGAATATGCAATAAAATGTAGGGGGTTCCATTAAAAAAAATAAGGTTGACCTTGAAATGACCTTGAAGGACATGGTCAAGGTCATCATCTTATTCCCCGCTTGAAACCATACAACTTTGTTATTGGACATTTCCTCCAAAATGCATTCTAACTCAAGACATTAGGGGGTCCGATACTTTTCGATGACTCTGTGTATATCGATACTGATAGCAGCTAACATTATCATATTTATTTGGTTTATGTAAAGTCTCCGCGGTGAGAATGGTCGATAAAAATATGAGAAATGTTTGATTCATAAAAGTACCTTTGAGCGCACAAAATTACATTATTTTTTAATATTTTCCATTTGAAAATTATTATAACTTCCACACTTTCGTCTTAAAATGTTTTACAAAAAAAATTGTCATTAAAATATGTCAATTTAGGGACTATACATATATTCTATACCTACCGTTCCTCGGCATTGATACGCAGATGTTCAGATACTTCAGATATCCTGGCGCAACATGTTCCTAGAGTCTCAAGAAACAGGAAATATGCAAGCAAGCGACATTTTAAGTAATTTTTCAGGTCGCTTGATCGTGAGAGGACAAAAAAAGAGGAGCAGGATTTCGAAACAGTATACAATATGAACGTGTGGGAAGTGGAATCGTCTCCATTTGTCAGACACACGATGAAAATGTGGAATACATGCATACAATACTGGATGGCTGTGTGCATTTACAAAAGATTCCCTCATAAAGGTTTGAGAACCATCGCCACGATGACCTTATCCGCTCTGTGGCATGGTTACGCTGCAGGCTACTACTTTTGCATCTGTCAAGTTCCTCTCTATCTACCCTTTGAGGACATCTGTGTTAAATTCTACAACCAGTGTGAAAAAAACGGATTTGTAAGTCTTCCAGAATTTGTATAATTCTTAAAGTTTTTCAAAAATATAAATACCTCAAAATAAAGACACATATCTCTAAATAAAATACAATATAGCAAATAGGATATTGCAAATAGCGATTTACATGTTATTTGAATGTTGACGATGTTGACTCAACGTTACTTATGCCATTGTTTCTTTTTTTAATGAAATACAGGGCAAGAAGGCCTGGGGACTTTTCCTCTGGTGGTCTAAACTTACATGCATGGCGTATCTTGGCGTACCCTTCCAATTACTGGGCTTCCAGGAAATAATACATTTTTACAAAAGTCTATACTTCTCCGGACATATCTTAGGGCTTGTGGCTTATCTGGTCTTACGAGTCCTTAAAACTCAATTTCTTAAACGACATCAAATGGAAGAACACAAGAAAAAATAAATTTTCTCGCAAGTATATTAGCTTTAAAGCAGAGGTTCCCATCAACGCGAAGTAAAAGAAGTCAGATATTGCTATTTAGTCTTTAAACTATTGATTAAACTGTTGATAGAAATCTATCAATCAAGAGATCAATAATTTTTAATTATTATTTACTAATTTTTTAAATTTTTTAATACTTTATAATTTTATAATTTTTGTTTCTTATAATTGTTTTTACAATTATTTTTTTATAATTTTTCTAATTATTTATGTGATATCTTAATATTCCTTTTACTCTTTATAATGTTATATAATTTCTAAAATTTAATATTAAATCACAATTGTTTATATATAAGTGTATAAATAACAATAGTTGAATATTTTTATTAAAATTCGGTATTTTATAAACAAACGATTAAATTTCAAAATTTGCCAAATCCGTATTGTGTACTTACAGTAAGCATTTGATGATAATCATCATCAAATATGTAAAACTTTATTACAGAAGACAAAAATTCTCTCTATAATTTCTATATCTGTGTTAACTCAACTTCTAACATTTTACTTTTTATATTCCATTGCATAATCTTGTACAAGTATGATTTTAAACATTGAATAGTTGTATTTTTTCGAGTCTACTATTTATTATAATGTACATACTATTTTAAAGATTTTATTTAGAACAAGATTCGGAAAAAGGTAGTTCTGTTTTATGAAAATATTTAAAAAGCGAAGATGACGTTAGTGATATTAAAAAAAAGGAGGGCATCTTTTTTTTAATGGAAGAGACAAGAACCCTGCTTTAGAGCCTCGGAAGATTTGTTAAGTCAAAACAATTTATCATTTTCCTAGTTTTTATACAGCGGAATCAAAATAGTAGCCATTATTAATATTTTTTTTACTTGGAATGTCAAATGTTGGAAGATATTGCAAGTACAAATCCGAGTGCCACTTGTTAATTGATGCTCTATACATCCCCCTAGGATTTGCTACAGGATTTTCTTATGGAAGGGAGGCATCATACAATTGTTACCGGAGAGGTATATGCTTCTCCTTACACTCATGAGAAATAAAAACTCTGTTTTTAAGAAAAGGAAGCTTTTATTCGCTTCTTCATTTAACAATATTATTAGAATGTAAAAGATAGCCGAGTGTAACCATAAATTATCGAGATGAGAATAAAAAGTCTATTTCTCTATTGGGCAAATAAAATTTTATTGAATACCTCGCAACATACTTGCACATATTTGAACATCTCCACAATCCATCGTTGCACGTTATCTCTATAGGATAAAAGTTTATGTGTCACTTCTATAAAATATTTTATATAGAGAAATACTTACATTAATTCATAACCTACCTATAAGTAGGTCGACATTTTCACCTGAAAGAAAGACACAAAAGAAATATCAGGGGGAGGAAATTTTTCAAGAACCTCCATCTCTTTAAATTATTTTTGTCTGATGTGTGGCGCCGCCAGGTATTAAACCTTTCTCAGCCGATGTATGCCGATTGTCCGAGACTGAGAAATAAGCTAATAATGTCTCGCTAGTAGACTCTCTACTCCAATATGGTTTCTAAATTAAATACTTTGAAATTATTTTTGTATATATTTTGGACCTTTCAAAATTTGATATTTTATCGTCACCCTTTACTGAATAAAATGCATTGGCATATGGCAATTAAAAGATTTGAAAATGCAAAACAAGACTTCTACAGGGTGTCGGATTCGATTTGGACCACTCCAAAGATTATAGTAGATTGGGTCAAACTGAGAAGAAAAGTTATATACCATTTTACAAAATCCGTAATTATTATCGCGTAATTAAGAAAAACGTCTGAGCCAATAAGTGCACGGAGGAGCTGAAGGCCGGACTCGGCAGACATGCAAAATGGTGTATTATTCTCCTACCACCAGAAAAACTTTTTCGGCGCAGTGTCATATGTCGCGCGTTCGCTCGCTGCGCGCCGTTCGCCCGCTCGCCGCCGTCTCTCATCGATTGATGCATGACTCCACCTCTCGCTATCGGATCTTGAGAGATGTCAACAAATACACCATTTTGCATGTCTGCCGAGTCTGGCCTTCCGCTCCTCCGTGCACTTATTGGTTTTCTTAATTATGCGATAATAATTACGGATTTTGTAAAATGGTATATAACTTTTCTTCTCAGTTTGATCCAATCTACTATAATCTTTGGAGTGGTCCAAATCGAATCCGACACCCTGTATAAGAGGTATATGGGGTAACTTACATATTTATCCTTTCTCATTTGCAATTATTTATTCATTGCCAATTAAAATGTTTATTTCAAATGAAAGTTGATCAATATTAAACAAAGTAAGCAATACAATCAAAGTATATAGAAAATAATGTATTAAAATTAAATTGTCAAAATAATCGAAATATGTATTTTATTGGAACAGTAAAAATGGAACTTTTTAATGCATTTAAATCCTCTATACTTATAAAACATAGGTGACACGAAAGAGTTAATTTATCTCGATGTATATTATACGAAAAAAAATTTTCAAAAATAATATATATATATTTGATATTATAATTTAATGTGGCTGTGAAAAAAAATTTTTAAAGTTTATACACATAACTGTGCGCGCGCGTGGAGGGGGGGAGGTATTGATCTTTGAAGGGATAAAAAGAGGGTAAAATTCTGAAACAAAAGTTTCTGTGCTACTTTTCTCTCCCATCATTATTAACTGAGTTATTTAACAATTAAGTCAACCAATCCCGTGCGCGCAATCCGAATCAAACAATACCGCAAGCGCCCGTATCTCCGCATATTTTATTTTATTTTTGGTTTATTTTTAAATAAATTGATATGTTACTCATTAATTTTAAGTGCGTGCATTAAGGGTGACGTCTCCGCGCAGCTTCAGCCGGCACTGCAGCGTTCACGAGATTGGTTGAATTAACTGTTAAATAACTTACAATTAGTGGATAATGATCAGTGAGAACAATAAGCAGAGGAACTTCTGTCTTAGAATTTTATCCTCTTTGTCCCCTTCAAAGATCAATTATGAATTTTGCGACATTTTGTATACAGGGTGATTCAGACCACCCGTACAGCCCCTTTATTTCGGAAATAGAACATTTTAGT